TCTTCCTCGCTCCCATCTTCCTTCTCGCTCCCATCTCACTCCCTACGATTTTTTTTTTTTTTTTTTTTCGGAAAGCATGAACTTTTATTATAATACCAACAGGACGAGGCCGGGGACCTCACAATTCTACCCGGTGTTATCCTGGAAGCCTCAGCCAGTTTAGCTTACGAATTCTGCTCAAATATGAGTCCTCTGCACAGAGGGCCTACGATTTGGATTTGGACGAAGCTTTCCAGGCACAATGCTACCCCAAGGCAGCACCCACCGCTGCTAACTACAAAGCCGAACATCGTCAATTACCTGTCAGATCTGGACAGGACATCCTTTCGGGCTTCTTTTTTTTTCTTTTTTTTTTTTTGGGAAAAAGCGATAAATTCCATTATGATCATGATTAAGAAAAAAAAAATAAAAAATAAAAATGATCATGGACCTTTTTAATTGTTATTACAGTATTACCGGGAACCTTGCAGCAGCTCTCAGCAGGTGGAATATACCCGCCAGGGTTCAGCCAGTGGAGTCAGAGAGCATGCCATCTGGACCAATCTCTGCGCCTCCCTCGGGTCCTCCTCTCCCCCTACGAGGTCAGCAGTCTCGGCAGTGTGTGGCAAGGACGGTCGGGACTCGAAAGGCGTGTAGAAGACTGGACAGTCGGGATGAGGTTTGGGCTCACGACTCAAATGTCAACGTTTTTTTTTTGTTTTTTTCCCGACGGCTTTGAGGATATCATTTTTTTTTTTTTTTTTTTAATTAAGAAAACAGATTGATTCATTCCAATTCCATGATCCGAGGCCGGGGACCTCACAATTCTACCCGGGGTTATCCTGGCAGCATCAGCCAGTTTAGCTTACGGCACTGGCCATTTGAGGATATCATCATTGAACTGACCGGTCCAAAAAAAAGAAAAAGAAAAAAAAGAAAAAAGAAGAAGAAGATTAGCATGGCCCCTGACACCCATGAGGGCCTCGCCACACCACTCTCGAAATGTGAAAAAGACAAAAATGTGGCGAGTGCATCTGGTCATGTTCTAGCCGTAAGTTCATTCCCATTTTGCACATCTCGAGAGTGGTGGGGCGATGCCCTAAACCCAAGGATGACACGCATAAACCCAAACAAAAAAAAAAAAATCACACGCATAAACCCAAAAAAAAAAAAACARAACTGACCGGGCCCAGACAATTCAGAATGATTTTATTCTCTACATCTGAGGGCATCTGAGATTTGAACTTGAGTCTGTCTGTATTTCGACAGTCCAGGGTTGTACCAACTGAGCTCAGGCCCTTTTGTTGTGTTAACGTTTTTCCTTCAGGTGCTCAGCAGAAGCGATAGTCTTTCCAAAGAGTGGAATCGACTATGGTAAAGGAATGGAGAAGGAAAACGACAGGCAAGGTCAAAACGGAAAAGCCCCTAACATACGAACACAAATCAACCCGTCCACAAGTAGGCAAGGCCGCGCGCTCTGAGAGACACACAGCTTGCGCGCGAGCGATAGATAGATAGAGAGATAGA